ATAGGCGGTGACGACGCCTTTGCCAGTGCTCGTGTCGACCAATCAGTGTCGCGGATCAGTAGGACTCAAAGTCGAGTCCTAATTGATTCCAACATATACTGACCTGGAGTTTTCAGTGTGTAAAGTGTGAATGACAGAGACTATACAATTGAGAGTGAGGTGATAAAGGCAGTGAAGGTTGATATGTCCTATTGCTGTTTGTATAGAAGACTGAAGTCCTTTTGGAGGGTAAAGGGCCGTCTTCGGCTATCAGCTAGCATATAACAATAAGTAGTTCCTCCGAAGGTGACTTATTAGTAAAGTTTACTTCTCATAGTGTAATTAAACTGAACTGAACTGTATCACAGAGCAAGCTGAGCAGCCAGAGCGCACATGCTAGGTGTGCCCTTAGCGCTTGCGGTATTTTCTGCTGTTAGGAAGCTAGCCCTGTGAATCGTTTCGCAAAGGACGCTATGCATGATTAACGCCTGGCAACTGCCCTGCTGGCCTGAACGCCCATGATAACGCCTAATTTTTATCTTCCACTGCCTAATTGTGATAAGCCGTCCTACATGACTATTCTAGATGTTAGCCTAGATCGGCTATTAAGTAGAATTCATGGGTTCTCGATGCGTTGGGAAAATAGGGAATGCTGTGCTTATCGGCTAAATACCTACACAGTGTGCCCGTGCACGTTGTGTATAAATTGCGCGTCCTCGCACACCACTTTTAATGCACTCAGTATACGTAAGCCATAGATCTAATTAAAGATGAGATCCCAGATTTTGACTTGTAAAGACTAGAAGACAAACGTATCCTCGTCCTTATGGTTGTTGTGGCAGAAATATAGTAAAACTGCATATAGTCTGCACAAGCCTATCACTCTTATACGTGCATTATTGCAAGAAGTAAAACAGTTATGTTCTATCCGTGCGGTAGTGCCCTCTCATACACTCGGTAAAACCGGAAAATCAAAACAACGCGCATCTGCGAGAGTTGCAGCAGCCTGGGAAGGAAGCAGGTACCAATTTGGCTATGTTTTTAGTGGTTTTGCACTGCTAAGAAGGGCCGCCATTTTCCGGTTTTACCGAGTGTATGAGAGGTGCCTTAGCTAGGTCTAAGTAGGATAACTAGTATTGCTGACATCACGTAAGCCCTCTCAATAAGACCTAACCAATACCTCTTGACATTCAATTTCGGAACAGCTTCCTTCATGTGCTCCATAGCTTCCCCCACCGAAGAATGAGTGGAAGATCTTTGCGTCTGGTCAAACAATGAATTTAATGGCCATAGGAACTGGAGCTTTACTATTTACCGTATGGGATACTACTGACCCTCATCTGATCAGCAAGATACAAACTTCTCCAAAAAAATACTCTTCCTATACATCTTCTACAATCTCGCCTATCAGTATCTTCTTCAATGTTGTTTCTCTCACATGAACTAGTTATATTGTCAGATGTCTAGAATCTCCGTTCTAGCGTTAACAAAAGACTCTTCAAATGTCGCAGAAGCGGAATGGTAAGCAGTTTACGTACCTCAGTACCAATAGCCGCCCACACAGGCCCAAGATTCACGGCTACTGCACTCCCATGTATGCGAAAGAATAGCATACGGCGGAATTTCCCTGCCAACAAATTCCTCGAAGCTAAATTCGTTATCATTCCTAAGACACGAAAGACGCATGATGAGGGAATTGTTAGGAAAATCTAGCGCAGGATGCCATCCAATTGGATTTGTCAAAGAGTGGGATCGTTGCTAAGTTATCCAAATATACGTGGTGATGGAGCAATAGGCAACACACTCTGCTCGCGAAGTGACATGATAATTTGGTCGTCAGATGATCTGCTGCGCATTACTAGATACCCCCAATAGCATCGCTTCTCGGTTATGAAACTCGTATATTGACGTGGTGAAGGATTCTGTTGAAATCTTGGTAGGCGAATCAGACGCCAGATTTCGTCACACGGTGAGACAACAATTCGCCTACGGGATATCCGGTCAGTTCACCGGCTGCGTCGCTGAACCAACTTGAATAGTCGAGCATCCCCTGGAGCTGTAGTCTCGTGTTTTCCTCTCGAGAATATATGCACAAAATAAGTGGAGGCAGCTCCAAAATGCCAGACGCCACGTTATACTCGCTGCTTCCGCACCAACGAGCCATCCGCTTATTGCGCATCAAATCGGGAACCGGTAAAGAAAGAATTCAGATCACTCTCGAAACTTTCGACCTCGACTCAAAAACGCAATTCACTGCGCTCTCATATGTCTGGGGCGATGCAACCTCGCCATGCAAGATCACATGCAATGGGCACAAGAAGCTGATTACACGTAATCTTTGGGGTGTCTTGTCGCAGCTACGGAAACAGCGGTTTGATTGCCTACTGTGGGTAGACGCTATCTGCATCAACCAAAAGGACGAAGAAGAGAAGAGTCTCCAAGTGGCTATGATGAGAGACATCTACAAGCGCGCCGCAAAGGTCATATTCTGGCTTGGAGAACAGAAACGATACGATGAAGATGCAGTCAATCTGATGAGAGAATTCCTCAAGCGGTATCCGGATCGTTCGGACCTGGAACGACACAGAGTAAAGACTCTGGAGGAGATGGGCCTTTCTTACTTTGATCGGCGCTGGGCTGGATGGGCCTCCCTGTGCTATCGCCCATGGTTTAGACGTGCTTGGATTGTACAAGAGTTCTTGAATGCGAAGGAATCCGTGTTCATGTCTGGCGCACTGGAGATTCCAACTAAAGTGCTAGTGGATTGCGGATACGCCACAGGAGTGTGTGTTGCGATCAGAGAAGCTGTTATGAGGCATAGTATGAACGCTCATGAGATCACAAATGACATTTCAAGATTTCAAGCTCTAGGAATATATCAATCTAGCGAGGATATTCGTATCTTCGATCTATGGTGCTGGAGCCAGCAACTGGAAGCCACAGATTCTCGAGACCGAGTTTTCGCACTCTTATCGATACAAACGGCAGTGAACATGGACATGATCGATTACCGTAAGGATGAAGCGACCGTCTATACAGAAATTGCAACAAAGGCCCTCAACATAACAGTTCCTAGGATCACATCGACTGGAAAGACTGTTTACACATCAAAGCACCAAATTCATACGAATGACATGCGCCGAGTCAGCAGATTTCTAGCTTGCAAATATCACTCCCCACGATCATCAAATTTACCGAGCTGGGTGCCGGACTGGAAGCCTGTTGGATTCTATTTTGTTCCCTTGACACGCTACTACACGGGCACTGCAACTTTCACGTATCCTTATGATCATGCTATTGTCAAAGACAAAGTGAGTTTCCTCTTGAGCTTCCTGCACGAAAGAGCTAATTCTCCAGACGTTGTCTATATCAGGGATTATCTGTGACGAACCTGACATAATCATCGATTCAAGGCCATATATGGATCAGCTCTCGCTAACGAGTGTCGGTAAAGACTCAAACAACCAAAAGCCGGGCAAATACATGTTGGATTGGATGTATCAGTGTTATGTAGAGGCAATGTCGATTCCTCTACGTTCAGTTAAGAAAGTCGATTCTCAGGAGTTTTGCCGTGCAATGGTATTTGGTGTGCATCTTGAAGAAACAGTTACACCAGATAAGGACTACATGAGGGGGTTCCAGGCACTGTTCAGGAAGTTTGAAAACTTGGCGAGAAGATCACGCTATCACCCAAGTTTTCTGCAAAGTCACAGTGAACCAGGCTATCATGGCAGGCTGTACGAAAGCAGATTCTCCGAGCTATCAGCTGGCCGGAAATTCTGCATTACAAGGCAAAGGCATCTAGCCTGGGTTCCTGTAGAAACCAGGCCGACTGATCGTATATGTATTCTCGCGGGATGTGCTGTTCCATTTGTGGTAAGGCCTGTTGGACAACGTTATGAACTGCTGGGAGACTGTTATAGGGATGACATGATGCAAGAGAGAGGCCTTTCGATTAGTCAAGAGCCCCATCTGTTTGAATTCCTGTAGCCGAAAGGAAGAGTTCGAAAAACAGTGCTTTTCCTAGCGGAAGATTACGTTTTTTGGTTGTCTTCGAGAGAGATTCGAACGTGGACAGACTGGGTTGGTATAGTTAAGATTGGTCATGCGGGGGGAGTTTCACTCTGAACATGACTGATTCCAAGTGAAGAAGACCGACAACGATAGCCTGCAGCGAGACTTTGTCCAATACTAATACCATGCAATCAATATCAGTCGCCTTTAATAATGCTCACAGCTCCGGCAAGAACTGCCAGATATGCTCATCTAACTACTACCGCATTGGCAACACTGGCGACTAGAAGGCTATCCGGACGCTAGAGGAATTGCAGTTTGTGGACCTGGATGGGGGCATCGGAGGTCATTGCATTACGGTTAGGAATCACTTTGATGTCGGTCATAATACTTTGACTGTTTTTGAAGCTGTAGGCGCCGCTGACAACGACAAGGTGCTGACTGGTCGCGTACCTAGGAACAAGCCATAGAGACTTGTCCCGCCCGACGTTCTTCCCAGCTACATTCTGTTCGTTATAATCAGATATGCACTGACAATTGGCCTGTCAGAAAAACCCAAGGGTTTAATTGGGTACTAATTTCTTCAGTTTAGTTCAGTTTCTCGCAACTATAAGTTGGAATATCACGGCCACGCAGCTGCCTAGCTCTGCAGACGGATAAAATTCACGCACAACTGCCTCTCATCAGCTTCAAGCTACATTAACGCAGGACCGTCCTGGGTTACCAACCGCGCTCATCCTTTCCTTCTCCATCGCAACCGACAGCACCAAAGTCATGCTTCGTGGCGCCGTCCTAACCGACGGACTCGGTCAAACCGAATACGCCAACCAACCGATTGGGTAGGGTTACACCCGCCACAAGGAAAGTCATCCGGTGAGGCGAATGCATGCAGATGCAACAGAGCGGCGTAGAAGCAACATGGACAAGGATTGGGAAACTATCCGGGCACACTGTGCTGGCAAAACCTGTTCGCTGGGCGGCCCAATAGGACGGACCAGTAGGCGCCGCGCGGTACAAAAAGGCTATTTTTTCATATGCCTTCTGTCCTTTCTCATTCTTATCATTGTACCCGGCTTCGTTTTCTCTTATAAGCACTACTTGACTCGACTGATCAACTTTCCTAACACCATCGTCATCTCAAAATGCAACATCTCCGCGATTACCAGTTAAGCTCCTCTCCAAAAGGTCCTCCCGAGCTCACTATATTAGACGACGCCGCATATGACCGACAGGATGTGCGTGAATGCATTACTCGGGGGGGGGGGGGGGGAAATCGATGAAGTCCGGGGAGCAGCGTTCTACAATCGAATACCAATCATTAGTAATCGATACTGTAGCACAGGGGATAGTGTGGACTCGCTAGAAGGCTACCTTCACTCCCTGTGGCACATGTACTATCAGCTCGGCCGACACACGTCGCATGAAACGACTGACCAAGACCGCCTGGTCCTCGACATTGTCCGCATTCAGGGCCAAGGCCCATTGACTAGGCCCGTTCCTGGTTTGTACGGGGTCGATATCGCACGAACAGTCAAAGGTACACTGTGGAACGATCTACCCTTCTTGGCCACGGATATGGCCGACTTCTGGATCAACAATTGCGCGCCCATGTCGGGAACGCAGCGCCTCAACTTCGCGACCTTCTTGGCTAAGCTGGCATCGACTAGGGTTAGCAAGGACCGAATATGTCAGATCGCTCTCGTCCCATTTCGCTCAACTTTCGAAGACAGACGAGAACTTCGCTACTCGGAGGAGCCGGATGAGGAACAAAAGAGTCGAAAAATCGACCATCTCGATATTACAAACTTGTTGCCAGCGGCCTATGCGTGGTTCAAGGAGGCTGGTTACAATCCCATCCAACTCTCGGATGTCTGCTGGAATGATTGTCCGAGCACGATAGGTCAAGGTGGCCAATGGTTCATCGAGTCGGAGCTTGGGAAGCGATCACCAGCGGGATTCACACCGTGGCGATGGATGTACTGGCTTAAGCGTCTCCATGAAATTCGGCATGAGGCAAAAGAAGTCAATGAGAAACGCCTTGAGCAGTACGCTACGGATGCTATCGAGCTTATGGTTAACCAAGCGAATGATCGCAACTCTGGAATTCTGAGGGCTTACCGAGACGGCGGGGATGCTCTACATCAGGAAAAACACTTGTTGTGTCTGCAGAAGAAATTCGAAATGCCTGCATGGAGGTCTTTGTCATCAATAGCCGAATGTAGTAGTAACGACTCCCGCCCACAAGCGAGCAAAGCCCCCTAGCGAGACAGATCAATCATCTAGACGACTTAACCTTTCCCATCCGCATTTACAAATCCGTGTGTGGTATGCTCTTGTTCTTTGGCTACTTTTCTTTCGCGTTCTGTAATGCAGTAAGAAAAATACAACAGTTGTAGTTATGCTGGCAATCACGTCGCTCGCAGCATTAAGAACTACTTTGCCTTCTACCACCGAGCTGCGTCGCGGTACCAGCGAAACATGGACCGGATGGCCAACGAGAGCTCAGTCTTGTTCGCCTTGTTGATGCAGCAGGTGTCGACCAAGAAGGACTGCAAGCTGTCGCGTAAGGAGGTATCGGGTCTATCGACTAGGTCGGCAGTGACACTGAGCTCCCCATCATCTCCGTGGTATAAGAGCCGCATCGTTCAGTGCCGTGAGTGCATCAATCTTTTCCATTTTTGATACCTCTGTATGGCGTGCGGAAGAGTGTGTAAAGTTCTCATGTTCCGTGCTAAGATGAGGTTACCGATAGCATCACGTGAGTCCTTTTAGAGTTCTTTACCCCAACCCTAAACCTAACCCTAATCATAAAATCGCGGATGTAATTCACTAATCCCATTTCTACTGGCAAATAAGACCATTGGAAACTGGGAGCTAGTTCTCCCTCGCGGTCCGTCAAAACTTGCGGTTCTGTGTTGAGGTCAATTTGCTGACGTCCGTCCTCGGTCACTACTACCCGTTTTCATGAATCGCGACTCTATCCGCAGCCCCCACCACCATAGCCCCAAAGACCATTAACGGTCATTCAAGACTCCTGTATGCGTATCATAGTACTCGCTGCAATAGCAGCGCACTAGTTTAAGGATGGGTTGCCACCAGTATCGGGCTCGCAACCTTCCTGTCCTCCTCACATTGTCGCTGCTGCAGCAGCTTTCGCTTCGCGTGGGTCAAAATCTTTCTTTCCGATACCGAACAGTGGTTCTGTCTTCGGAAGATTAGCTACCCGGACCAAAGACTCAGAGCTTCAGCACTTCTGTCCAAAGCAACTACATCTAACACCTGATATGTTGGAGTTTTCATGCTCTGCCGGCATCCATTAAGCAGTCGTCGATTCTTTTCTGCACTGACAACTGGCGCAATCGCCCAATTCTCAATACTCTGTACTCTGTAGCGATATAGTCGCTCCAATGTCTGCGTTAACTATTATTTTCTTCATCGCTTTCAAAAAGACATTCTCCTATAAAGTCCCTGGCTCGTTCTCATTGCTTATCCCCTCTCCGTGCTAGCAAACGCGTAATGATCTTCTCAGCTTCTTCCGTACTATATTCGTCGTTCTCAACTAGCCACCGCCCCTCTTCATGTCTCGCTTCAGCAATACCTTTTCTGGTCTTCGTGTAGACTGCCGTTCTCAAGCTTTTTGCAATACCTGCGCTTGTATAACTAAAAAGACCGAACATGCCAGCACCGGTCTTTGTGACCATGTTAGCTATTCCTTTGCCCACCCCTTTTGCAGCGCCTTTGAAACCTTCCTCCTGAGCACCTTGGTATGGCTTCACAACAACGTCACTCACTCCATCAATGAAGCCCCACGCGAAAGTCTTGCCTGCAACAGCTGCGCCACTCTTGAACCCTGTCACATGCCCGTGGTCACGAGGTGTTTCGCCGTAGAGTCGAGGCACATTCTTGAGACCATCGGTAATTGCGAGAGGAATGTCGACTGTCATACCTTTTAGGGCCTTTGGAGCAAACATGGCAATGCTTGCTCCGGACGCACCTGCCAGTTGACCTGCTGAGATGGCTTTACGTTTCGGAACAACGCTGTTTGCCGATGTTTTAGCACTTGCGCTGTCAGACATCTGCTTCGATTGGTCGATATGATTAATACTGGTATTGGACGCTTCCGAAGCCTCTAGCTTTGAGTCTTCGTAGGCACGTCGGTCACGATCGTCTCGATACTCCGTTATTGGTTTCGTGAAAACTCCTGTGACGCATGTCGCAAGATCGACTGTAGTGCCAAGGACTCCGGACGCTCCACCGGAGATGGGATCCCATCGTCGAGGCTCTATGACAACGGGTCTGCTCTCGTATCTGTACATAAATTAGCGATCGGATGCAGGAAATGCTCATCGAAGAACCAAGTGATAAGGGCGAAACCTACAATTTTAGATGCTTGGCATCCTTTGAGAATCTCAGTGTCATAACTTCTGTAGCCAAGGTAGAAAGCTTCATCCTGTGTCCTTTCTTGTCAAAGCAGAAAGTTGCCGGTAGGTGTGGTAGTACATCGCAAGACATGTCTCTGAATGGGAGATTCCGATGGAAAGACATGACTGCAGCTTCGACGCCTCTCTCAGATTGCATCTTCTGTGCAATGACTGCAGCTGCGCTCGCCGCTTCAGGTGATAAACAGAATCTGATTGCTTGAGACAGGCTTTCGGCCGTTATGTCTCGTTGAGGAATAGGCATCGGACCAGCACCAGCAGTAGCTACCATCTGGCCCCAGAATGGTTGACTACTGACTTATTAGCAAATCTGCCGACGCAACGGAGTGGACAATCTGACTTACTCTCCGAAGAACGGAATGATAGTCGTGGGCTTGCCGTTCAGCAAACCACATGCAGTCGTTCCAGCGCCACCATGATGCACCACTGCGGCCACATGCTGAAACAACCACTCGTGTGGACAATCACCAATGAAGATGATATCTTCATGAGACTCTCCGTGATCTCCCAACTTTGACCATCCCTTGGACACAATAGCACGAAATCCGTTCGCTCTTACAGCCTCTAATATGACTGCGGTAATTCTTTGAGGGTCTTCAAGAACGATGCTGCCGAATCCTATGTAGACAGGTGGCGGTCCACTCTCAATGAAGGACCGAATTTCAGCTGGTGGCTCGTACGAAGGAGGATCCCGGAAGAAGAAACCGCAGACGTCTATGTGGGCCGGCCAGTCGAAGGGTTTCGGTACAAGAGCCGGAGACCAGCAGTAAGTCATGGGAATGCTCAGTGTGATCGCAAGACTAGGGCCATCGAATATGCCCACCTGTTCCAAGTCCAGCGTCTGGCGCCATTGGTTGATGACGCCACCAAGTCTAAATCCCAGGTTAGTATCATCTAGTCTGTGCAACGAGGAATCCTATGTCGACCTTGTATGAACAACTTACCCTTGCCATGTTAACCAATCGACAACCCCATATGATAGGTAATTTGCAGCGCTTTGTTTGCCCTCGGCATTTTTCAGATTCGCTAGTGGGTGTGGAAATGCTCGCGTACTTGTCCATGGCATAGTGAACATCATGTGAACGGGAATTCCAAGAGCCTGTGCGCAGTGGACATGTGCAAAGCTTGGTGGGTTGGCAATGATAGCATCTGCCACGAATGGCGAATGGCTCATGATGTCTGGTGCGATGCATGACCTCCAAAACCCTTCCAACATCTCCCTGACCATCATCTGTTTCTTCTTGATCTCGCCAGCCCGCAAGCTCTCGAGACTAGGAATCAGACCAGGGTTTTTGACCATGTACGCCATCAATTCTGAAGGATTACCGCCGATTGGGTAGAACTCCAGTCCAGAACCGGAGCCTCGCACGAGATCTTGGAACATGTCATGGGTCGCTAGCCTCACTCGGTGGCCATACCGCCGAAGCTCGTCACCAAGCGCGATGAAAGGCTGGACGTCTCCTCGACTGCCTACAACTTGGATAACAATGTTCAGTTTGACAGGCCACGACTTGTAGCGATCCGGTCCGTCTGGGAATTCTGAATACTCTGGTGGCGCATCTTCCGGTGTGTCGTTAAGAGCATCGCCGTAGAGCAGCGAAAGCGTCCTCACAGCTTTCGAATTCAGATCGATGTTGATGCGCCCATCGCCTAGAAAACATGAGTTCCAATCCGACTGATGAACCGAGGAATCGTGAGTCTTACTGCCGGCCTTGAGCTTTCCATCATCGGGTGCGTCCGCTGATGCGTTTATCGAAGAAGATTCCTGGTGACTGCTGAGCTTTATAGGCTTTCGATCACGATTTATCTCTGTACTTTCATGGCCTGTGAAACTGCAACCTATCGGTATATCACCGGGAAGTTCGGCAAAATCCGAAAGCCTTTTTTCCGGTTCCATGGTGTCGATGGAGAATATTCAAGTGTAAGAAAGAAGTAATGTTGGTGGATGACCTGCCGACAAGAGTGACGAGACATATCAGACGGTTTCTAAAGAACACACTAAAGCGTATTGTGCGTATGCGTATGCGTATGCGTATTTGTTTGGAAGGCATGTGCACTGGCGTTGTCTGGAGCTGAGCACAGCTTTTGTAGGGGTGTGTTGCGTCACCGAGCAGTGCCGCTACTACCCCAGTTTCAGCCAATCAGCGCCAGCTTGCGAAAGTCGAAGCTACCAAGCTTGCTAGTATGGTTGAAGTGCCGTCGACGCGTATTGTACTATGCCTCCGACCTCAAGATACTCCAGCGGATGAGTCTGACATGGCTACAGCATGGCAAGACTCCTATTTCATTCATATATAAAAATCGTTTAAGCCTTCCGATGCAGTAGGCACATAGCACAAAAAACAAGCAGCGCAGACGACACGAATCACGCGAACTTAGCAATATGGCCTTCAGCACAAATTTCAAAGTTTTTGGTATCACGACAACCACTCTGTTACTCCTTACCGCCGTCAAAGCGAGCATTGCAATCCCCACCACCGGCACTACGGCGCTGAGAGAAGAGGCGCATAAGAAGAACATCACAATTGGATCTGGAGCTATCAACCCGACATACCTTGAAGATCCTGTCTTCGCGGCTGTTCTCGCTGAGCAATTCAACAGCTTGCATCCTGAGAATGAGATGAAATGGTCTTTCATCAACCCTACGCCAGGCCATTACAACTGGGATCCCATCGACCGTCTTGTTGACTTCGCCAACGAACATGGCATGTTAGTCAAAGGGCACGGACTCATCTCGAGCTGCTGAAATCCCGACTTTGTAGTCAACATCACCAATCCCAAAGCGTTGCGTGCTGCGATGACGACTCATTTCGAAGCTATCATGCACCGGCACGAAGGACGGATCGACCGATGGGACGTAGTCACTGAGGCTCTTAAAACAATGGGTGGAGGCTTAAATGCGAATGACTTCTCCAGACAACTTGGTCCGGGTTACATCAACGAAGCCTTCCGTACCGCACGGGCTGCATCCCCTGGAGCCAAGCTATACATCAACGAAAACCAAGTAGAAGTGCTTCCCTGCAAGCGTCAAGAGCTTGAAGACCTGGTTTTTAGAATCGTTGCAGACGGCGTTCCAATCGATGGAGTTGCCCTGCAAATGCATATTACCGAAGTCGCTCCAGTACACGGCGTGATAACGGACATGGTTCGTTTCTACAAAGCGCTCGGGCTGCAAGTCGAAATCGCCGAAATGGACGTGCACACACTCAATAAAATACTCCAGACTCAGATCTATGGTGCCGTCGTCAAGGAGGCTTTGGAGGCAGGAATCACAGATATCAACTTCTGGGGCTTTACCGATAAGCATGCTCACACTTGGGTGCCAGGCGCAAAGCCGCTCATGTTTGATGAGAACTACAAACCAAAGGGAGCTTTCTATGCGACTCATAGTGATCTAGAGGAGTTTGTCAATGAATGCTAGCTAGATAATGCTGTATCACGTTATTCCAGACGTCACGTGGTAACAACGTCAAATGGTGTCCCGTGGGTAGCGGGCTCTCTTTGTCATCCCTCATTGGTGTCACTTCCAGCTATGTGTAGGTATATCACAGTATCGTTCAAGACGGTACAAGGTAGAAATACGACTAGATTGCACAGAAAGCTACTACAATCATACTGCATGCCAATGTACAAGTACAATGAGCAGCAAGAGAGTCAGGAAAGCAACCGTGCAAACTATAAACGTTATGCCTTATGGTTAAAACGATTAGATATCGCCTTAAGACGTAATCTTCCAGTCGTACTTGTACATACCTTAAACCCGTGCAGCAAAAAAACTATCCTAAGATCTCTTCGAAAAGCCATGCGAACTATGAACCATACTAAAGCACAAATCTAACGACCATCGGGAAGACCCAGCTACGCTGCGTACTTCTGTACCATCTCGACAAGTCTGACACTATACCGGGCGCCAAGTGGGGCGATACGCATACGCATACGCATACGCTCTATGCGCAGTGGGCCCCGCTAATGGGGCGACTATCCCTAGCCCGTTAGTCAGCCCGAACCTTATTCCTAGATCGCCCAACATTACCCGGACGATGTACTGTGGTTTCGCAACTCTAGCAGAAATTGCCCCTGGGCGTATCACATAATACGCATACGCACCATGGAATACTGTACCAGATGGCTCAGCCGACGGAACGTACGTAGATAGTCTAGGTCGGACGTTACAAGTAGGACAGGTTGATTAGGGTACTTGGAATTATAGGCTTCCAAAAAGTTGTTCACTTTGCTCTACTGCACGTTTCCACGTTCAACACCACTTGTCTTCGTATTATTTTCAATTAACGATATCATCATGGCAGAAGAGACAGTCGATTTCAAGCTTTACCGCTACAATCCTTCGATGGCAGCGGCCGTCATCTTTATCATCCTATTCTTCCTCGTCACAACGTTGCACTTTTATCAAATGATGCGAACCCGGACTTGGATTTCCATTCCTTTCGTTCTTGGCGGCATTTGTAAGCTACACCCAATCTCTGTGTTCGTCGTGAAGAGATAAGCTGATAATTTGTCGCAGTCGAGGTTGTCAGGTATATTGGAGTATGTACGAGAAATTGTAGCCTAAAAAGGACGGCAAAACTAATGTGTGTGTGTGTGCGGGTGGGTGGGTGTGTTTTACAGAGAGCCATTTCCGCCCAAGAGTCCCCTAATTAGTCGGTCGCAGTCTACTCACTCTCGACTATCCTCCTTCTGGTTGCGCCCCCGCCCTATTCGCGGCAAGCATCTACATGATGCTTGGCCGCATCATCTTGGTGACCGACGGCGAGTCACATTCACTCATACCCAAGAAATGGCTCACAAAGTTACTCGTGAGGGGGATGTATTATCATTCATGATGCAGGGAGCCGGTAAGTGTTTTCCAATCTCCAGGATATAAATCGACGCAATGACTGACGCATGGACCTAGGTGGGGGTATAATGGCAAGTGGCTCCATTGAATCTATACATACTAGAGAGAAGATTATCAATGCTGGCCTAGTAGTGCAGCATCTCTTTTTCAGCTTCTTCATCACTGCCTGTGTCATCTTCCATGCCCGTCTTGTCCAGCAGCCGACGTCACAAGTATATTCCCAGTCGTTGCCATGGGAAAGACAGCTGTATGCACTCTACGTAGCCAGCTTATTGATTCTTGTGCGGTGCATCTTCCGACTGACTGAGTATGCACAGGGTAACTCAGGGTATCTCATATCCCACGAGGTCTTCCTTTACGTATTCGATGCTGTGCTCATATTCGCTACGATGGTTTGGATGGCTTGGGTTCATCCAAGTGACATTGCAGCGCTGCTGAGCAAGGGTCAAGGGAGGGCGGTGCGGCGAGTAGTATCGGTTTATTCCCTGCACTGAGTTGATTTGTTTACACCGACGGATCCGTATAGTTATTTTTGACCTGCCTGATTGCGAGAGAATATGTTACACAGCCGGGACAGCTGCTTACAATAGAACCTTTGCGTGGCGCAACCCTTGTATCACCTTAGTCTTGATTAAGCACCTCCTTTTTCATCTCACTGTGAAGTCTGGACCAGTATAATCACTTATCGCTTCCAAATCATTCCAAGTACAGATAGGGAGTTAGAGTCCTTGATGTAAATGTAGAGTCGATTCTGCAGTGAAGAAAGGCTGTTAGGCGAGTCTTTCCGGCAACAAGTCATCAAATTGGAAAGCGCCTCGACCACCATCTTCAGTTTGTCTAGCAACCTCCCTTGGCCACTCGGTCAACGCAGCCCAATTAGGACCTGCAGCATGTACCAAGATTGCCAGGTCCTCGATGAGGCTAATTCCAGTACGCGCCCCCCACCAAAGATGCCGGATATGGAGTAAAAGTACACCGTAATGCATAAAAATGGTTAGGGCCATGATATCGCCATGTCGGATCAACTTCATGAGCGCCTCCCTGTGTTCTGCTGGCCAGATCATCGCAGGCCAGCCAATGACGCGCCCCAGATGACTTGAGGTCGTCATATACCCGAAAACGAGTCCAAGACTCCGGATTCCTGAGGCATAGACAGCATGACGTTCTTCGTCGATAGAATTGGAATGCAGAAGGCTATCTGTATGTTGACGCAGCTTTTCCAACGCAGCTTGTGTCTCGTCATCGGGCTCCAAATCCCCTGGTGAGGGTCGGAAGAATGATGCCAGTTTTCCATTGGTAAGGAGGGGAACGAATTTCGAGTGTATGATTCTTATACCTCGCCCGAGTTCAAGCATGGTCATCAGGCTTTCGGTTTGCGCTGAGTATGCGGAATCCGGATCTGCGTTTGGCAAGGCGATGGCCATCACATTTATAAGCATGGAGAAAGCAAAAATGGCAGTACAGTTTGTTTCGTTGATGTCCCCAAGAGTTTTGTTGTAATTTTGCAAACCCTCGTTTTGATATCGTATCGCAAATTCGGTGTATTGCCTACGCGAGTCCGGATTGTAAAATGCGAAATGAAGCGACGCCATCGCCAAAAGCCCATCCATTAGAAAGTCATACTGCACAGCCTCTTCTGGAATGGCTTCCGTCCAGACAAGAAGTTCTGCTGCATCATGTGCCAGGGTTCGACTCGTTCTGTTTATGTAGTACACCATCAGCTGCAGCTCTTGTCGTCTGGAAACACCAGTTGTTGATTGCGATGATGGATCATGTGCGCAAAGCTTCCCTGCTTGCCATGGTGGCTCCTCATGCGGGAAGCGGGTTGGGGATCCGGTAGCGTCCGAACTTGGAGCTCTAGAAAGATCATGTCGACTAGCTTTGGCATTTAATCCATACGCGCAATCTACTCGTCGAAAGATGCAGTTCTGGCATGTAGGTATCTCCTCTCCGCACTGTTCGGAAGTTATCAGCAAGCATTGTAGTTGTGCAAGGGGACAGCCTGCTCAAACCTTGATATGTCTCTTCTTGCAAGGCAAGCAACCATTACGTGATTTAGTATGGGGTTTACGAAGTGGCATGGCTGAGGCTGGTAGCCAACAAAAGTGAGGGTTAGCCCTCCTTGGTGAACTTCTAGAAAAATCGCTGGCTCATGGACGATGGTGGAACCTTTTTGGAAGGGCGTTCGCATACCCATGCAAACACTGCCCGGACGCTAGTACTAGTCGCGACACAGAAAATAGCATTGATCTGCGGCCTTCACGCCAACTGCCTCTACGTTTCTCCGAAGATACCGCGATTTGCGACCCATCGTATCAGACCATCGGGCCGTTCTTCGTTCCCGTCCCCTGGGAATCTCTTATTAAACATCGTCAACCACTCGCCATCTACCACCCATCACTGTGTTATTCTCCTCACAGCTCTCATCCACCAACTTCCTACTCCCCTCCATTCCCACAACCGGCAATTTCACCACGTACCTCTTCCCCTCCGGTTTGGTCTCTCCCTCAGTCTCGTATGGAAAAGGGACGTACTCTGGCAATAATCCTAACTGTTTGAGCGCCGTCGCATGATCCTAGCTGATATCCTCGTGACACAGTCGATCGCCGCGCATGGCAACGACGCTGGTGAAGGGAATGGCGAGGGGCCTGCCGACGGGAGGGACACTGGGCAAGAGCTAGTGCACTTCTTTGGTGTGTGTGTGTGTGAGGGTGAAGATGAATTCGTCAATCACGCGGTCGATGCCTACGGTGCGTGAGACGAGAGAGAGGGCAGTATCGGGTGGATTGCTGAAAACAACGTGGTGAGTGTAAAAGGCTGTGAGTCGTTCCTGACCCACCCCTCCGCTGCCCAGTTATTAGTATATCGTATTCAGACACGGTATCGACGCTCAATAATGGTGCTGGATGGATATGTACGTCATAGTCGGTATGTGATTGACATACGGCTGGTCCACCATTGTAGCCATTGGTTTCGCAGCATCTCTCTCCCCAAACTTGAACTTCGTATGCTCTTCCCACACCGCCCCCAGATTAAAGAATGGCCCACCAAGCAACGGCTTCAGAAAGATCAGACTCCTCGTGTGCGCAATGCCTGCGCTTTGCTTGTGGTAGTTCTCATCGCTTGGAAGTACCCATGCATACTCTTTCTTTGCATATTCGTATCGGTGAGACCTGAATACGTTTTCCGGGAGTGGTGTCGTATTTTCCGAAGATGGTCCCGGGACTAGCGAACACGACTCACGACGACGAGTATCTGGCAGCCCCGCTATGTGTATCAATTGGGGTGGAAGTGGTGTTGAGCCGATAGTGGTGAACTTTCCACCACCGTAGGAGACAAGAGCTTTGATATCTAGAGTGCTGCCGGCGGCTTATTCAACGTAATGTGGAGTTCTTGATAGGTATGCTGCAGGGTATGGTCAGTGTGTCGCCGAAATATCGTCATTGCTCAGAAAGGAGTTGACGAACATATCAGTCCAACACCATTGCTGAATTCGCATCCTGCGCATTTCTTCAATACTTCAAGAGCTTTTTAAAGAGGGAATTTGCCACCGTCTTCGACTTTGCCAGGGACGAGCAGCTGTTGGTAATTAGCATTAGTATCACGTGTCAACTTCTCCCACCTCTTCCATTGCAATCGATCTTAAAAGCGCATTTCTGTCGTCACCTTTCTAGTCTCAAAACATATCTGCACGACCGAAAACCCCTCCTCAGCCCGTTTCTGTAGTGGCGGTAGATCTAAACACCAGTCCTTGGCTTCTCTGGCCGCACACTTACGCCAACCTTTACGTAGATGTGACATCGACTCAATGATTCGCGGCGAACAAGAAAGTGGCGGATATTAGGATTCAGCTCGTAGGAGAGCTAAGTGGCAGCTACAGCAGGGGCCGCATCGCATTTACGCAGAGGCCATTTGCGGATGTTTTGCACAGGCTCTACTTGCCTTTCGCCCAACGACACAAGAAGCTTTTTTCTTTGCTTTTTCGGGCATGCGTCATGAGCAACGCGTGCCAGACCATCAGCTACACAAACTACGAGCGTTAGAGCCGCAACCACACATAAGTACTGCAACCCGTACACTGCCCGCGCAACCACAGTCATCTGTCCCACAATACAAGTCAACTGCAGACTTCACTGTGCACGAGTCTCATTATCACGCAGTAAACAACGCCGGTCTAGGGTGGCTGTGGCTGGGACTGCGAGACCTAGAGAGACGTGTGCGCCCCTGCAACCCAACGAGAAAGAACGCACCAATGCAGTGCTACTACACACTAGGAGACTGGCCAGGACAGTGAGACTCCGGTAATCGAACTGACGGATAGAGTAAGCCGGTTGCAATACATGATCTTTGAGATGATTCACATGGCGTTAGAAATAGTATATGCAACCCTATATCACCGTCTAATGCTATCTTCTACTATCCTTTGTGAAGAGCAGTCTCCAGTTCATACTTATCTGTCTGCACCTAGCCGATCATCCTGCAGTGCAAGCATTAGTCGCCTTACCCTACCATACATGTTCACATGGTCACTGGCCTGCCGACGATGTGTGTCACGCTGCACTAGTTGCAAGGGACTATCAACCCTGGTGAGGACTCGAGGTGTCATTGCGTAGCACATGTAAGGGCCCAACTAGTCTAGTCAAGGTTACCTACGTATAAAAGACCGTCTCTTATTCCTAATGTTGTTATCTTCTCTTCCACCTTAAAACCGGTGAATTCTCGAGAAGCCAAGGGTGCAATAGGTTCTCAAGACACCGTTGTGGACGACATGTTGTATTAGGTGTTTGAAGAGGCTGCATAATTAGCGACTGTCATTGATTATCACAGGAGTATTAAGACGAAACGATTCATCAATCTTCAGAACCAGCAGATCCAACACTTACAAACAAGTACTCCAGCGGTAAAAGAAAGGTTGAACAGCTCAGAGAGTCCGCGTCCTAAGACTAAAGGGGCAGCGTTACACAACGCCAGTGAGATTCTCCTCCTTGCGCATCCACCAGTACTAAGACACCATGTAGGGCACCAGCCCCAGGAAAACGATGCTAATATACAACGTCTTTGAGGCAAGCTGAATAACTTGAGAGAGCAGCAAAAAAACCTCTCCATTCAGGAAGACGACGTGCTCTCTTGTTTCCAAGAAGCGCTCGGATAAACGGAGAAAACAATTCAATCGAGTTTGTCCAAGAGCCAGAAAATCTTTAGATGGGTGGATAGCGTCGACACTTATGGTCCTGATGACGATGCAAACCGCTCTGAGAAAAGAGCACGTAAAATTTCACAGACTTAGAGGCGTGACTGGTCTCACTCTAGTTCTCACCCCTTGCAACGTGGGCACCTGCAGCCATCGCGACTGCTTCCAAGCACTATATCAATGGTTGACAAGGCCAAATACCGCAATACTATGCAGATCTTCCAACAGCTATGCACGCAGCTGTCCAGGATCACTCCCTCAAGATCGGGAGCAGTACACATTGTATTGAGTCGATGTATGTCTCATCTCCCCTCTCCCCCAAAGGGAATATGTAGCCGTGCACTGCGCTATAGCCGTGCGGCGTTGTAACGCCTACACAGACTCCAGATTCGGCAAACAAAACCGTCCCCAACACTGCGCCGCAACCACCACTAACAGTCAAACCATTTTTGTAACTCTAGGCCTTCACAGATTTGTGTCACCATCGTGCCCCACAGCAAGAGGATCGTATATACCAGCCCAGCGTGAAGGCTGATAAGAAAGGCGAGGACGCACAGAAGTTGAGCTAAGCTCAGCGGGCTGAACGCGCCCCTTTCGGCTAGCATGTTCATCGTGAGCGAATTCCGTGATAAGCATGATGTACCCATACGCTGATTTAGCAATACTAACAACTGATCTACACTGGAGAATTGGATGTAGAATCTATAATAGATAGGGACACTAAATTGTATCGTAGAATGACGCTCTGTATAGAGAGTGCTCTCTTGTCTGAAGCCTAGCTTTTGTCTTTGCAAACCCTGCGGGTGAATGATCCTCTCACGAACTCACTGCATGTGTGCTGGATCTAAAATTCGGCCTCTTAATGCGTCCTTTTCCCTACAGATTGTAGTTGCAGGGGCTAGGTCTTTTTGTTTCAACCCGTGTTCGTGGCATCCATTCAGAAAAACTTTAAGCGCTGAACCACTGCTCTCCCAAGAGCGCTTACGCGCTAGTGCACGACATCTGGGCGGAGCAAGCCATCAACTCCAGAATGTGTGCTAATAGTCCGCATACAGAAAAGAGGCTTACTGTATACAGAAACATTAACGGACTTTGTGACAGTCGCATGAGTGAAAGGTAGCCATTCCGTCCAACCTGGCATATATAAGCAGTTTACCAGCGGATTAGTAGTTAGGTGGGTGACCACTAGCGAATCCCCGCTGTCGTATGTTTTTGCAATCCTTTTTTTGCGGTTCTTTTTTTACTCGCCGGGATGTCACGTGTGCGTGACTTGGCACCACAGCGTAATTCTTATGCGCATATGTTGATATTGTAAGTGCAGTTCGTAGCTTGCACACAACCTAGATTGTATTCGAAAACAATGTAGTAACACTTGTTACTCCAATGGTGCGCAGTAGCCTGCTCCGTATTACTTCATCTACAGACGGAGAAGGCGAAAATGACGCTAGACCAGCTTGGTCCACCTCCGTCCCTAACTCCGCATTCACATTTCCTGAATGCCTAGGTACTGCACTTCTCCACCGCCAACATGGCAGCCTCTGGTGCGAATCTGGCTGTTACCAAAGACGGAGAGACCTACAACAAGTTATCGCGGCCCGACGATTACCTCATATCGGCACAACCCCCTCCGCCATCTGCATCTGGTGTGCCTGCTCTGGCTATTCCTGGGAGCAAGCGAAAGCACGAGCAGGAAAACGCGTCAGACACGAAGCGCGCAAAAACCGATCGCAACAATTCGCGCGCCAAGGGGAAATTACGCACCAATGAACAGTTCCGCGAGCCAGGCGTACGCTCGGTGCTTCCAGGACTTGAGGGAGAGGAGCATTTGACAGACGAGTCAATAGACGAGGCAGTGGCATACCTTCGAAGTGTCAGGTAATTATTTCAAGTTGCGACATTTGCGCACATATCTACGAAAAGCAAAGAGCTATTACTTACATCTTGGACCAGATCTGAAGCCTCAGCAATACCCACCCTCCTCGTAGCCCCGACCGATGTGCACAGCACTAGCAGTGATCATGGCAACGACAACCGCAACTTCAATAAACCGACCGTAAGAACACAGCGTACTGTATACAACGACGGTACCTGGGTTGCTCTAGAAAGCGAGAGTGAAGGTGCATCGGAGTACTGGGACGGAGACGTAGAGGATCTCGACCCACAGGAGAGCTGTCAATGGGCACTCGTGCGGCGATTCTACACTCTTCGCAACAGACTCTCTGCAATCCGGGAACATAAGCTACCTTCGGCGAAAACAGCAGCTTCCAGAAAATCCAAACGACGTGATCAGTCTGGAAAGCACTATTGGGCTGAAGCCATTGGTCGCGACTATCCTGCACTAGAGGAAGTCACCCAAATGGATGAATCGACTTTATATGTGGCTCTGCATGGCTGTGCACTCGCATTGGATCGATCTATCGAGGTATCACGTCAGAAGAGCTGCTGGATATGGACACTGCTGGCCTTGACGGGAGACTTTGGAACTTTGGATCATGAGAGGATCGGCAAGATTCGGGACCTAGGTCTCGCTGCTAGCCGTCTGGTGAAAAGGCTCTCTGACAGGAGTCTAGAGGAGCAATGTGCTCCAGAGGGCGAAACAAGAGACGACGAGCCTGATGATGAATCCGGAAACAAGCCAAGTTCTGCACTTGTGAAAGAAGACAGCGACTCGATCGTCAACGCGGACAGCGGCTTGGAAAGCGGAGAGGTCATGGATGGCAATGCGGGCGATTCTGGTGCAGAAATGGCCATCTCAGAAGATGAAGCAGAGTCGTCAGATGCAGCTGAAGACGGAGCCCTCGAGAAAGCCAGAGCCCGCCTTCTCGCCCAACTTGGAGACCGTTTAGTGCAGCCAGCAGTCCCACCATCAGACGCACCAGTCGAGCCACCTGCAGCATCAAATTTCAAGCTGCTTTCCCGAGCAGAGGCCGAGAGACAACGACAGGAGATGCGCAACAACAAGCCTCAAAAAGAGAATGTCACACATGCATCAGTCTCTACATCTGATGCCGCACAGACCAAGGGTGCAGGACTACAGAGCACACCTTTAACCGAGAGTGATGTAGAAACACGGGCGGCAATCGACATGATTCTGACGGTTGTCGCCGAGTGTTATGGACAGAGGGATTTGCTACAGTTTCGAAAGGCATGGTGAAAGCATGAAGCGTGTTTAGATACCCCTATAGCGATTATAAAATTAATACATAGACTTCTGTTTACATACAATCAATTTACACATGTATGTAGACATACAATCTGGGCAGTGACGTAAACAAGCACGGACCATTCTACGTGCAGACCCGAATCTTTTCCAAACAGCGGCGGCCGCATTGCTCTTTGGCGAATTGAGTCACTTTTTTTATTTCCAGTCCATGCCGCGCATTTCACCCCACTTTCCCTGCCCCGCGCTCATACTACGACAAGACGTCCTGCGATACAGTACTGCTACTTTTGTCTCGCGCAAATTCATACAAACAATAGCTTTCCGCCGCGTACGCCTTTTTGTAACCCCCGCCCCCCACCGTAGACTCTCCACACAGACCTGGTCGCTGAGTGACGACGAAATGGGCAAGGAAGACAAGGGCAAGAACTTTACGCTCAAGGTACCAAAGGGCACGCGGGATTGTACGTACTCTCCTTCTCTTCACTTTTTGGAGGGGTATCTATCCGCAACACCACTTACTCACAACCCCGACAGGGACCGGCGAAGATGCCGCACTCCGTGATCGCCTTTTCCAAACGGTAACCGACGTCTTCAAGCGCCACGGCGCCACGACACTCGACACACCCGTGTTCGAGCTCAAGGAGATTCTAAGCGGCAAATACGGCGAAGACTCAAAACTCATATATGACCTGCAAGACCAGGGCGGCGAGCTATGCTCGCTACGATACGACTTGACTGTTCCGCTTGCCCGATGGCTTGCAATGAACCCCAGTGTGCAGAGCTTTAAGCGGTACCAGATTGCCAAGGTCTATCGGCGCGATCAACCCGCCATGACCAAGGGTCGCATGCGCGAATTCTTCCAGTGCGATTTCGATATTGCGGGGTCGTACGATGCTATGATTCCCGATGCGGAGGTTCTCAAGATTGCGACTGATGTTTTTGATGCGCTTGAGTGGGATTCGTATACTATCAAAATTAACCACAGAAAGATTCTTGATGGTATCTTCAAGGCGGCTGGCGTGAAGGAGGAATTGATTCGGCCAATTAGCTCGGCAGTTGACAAGCTGGACAAGGTAGGGATGGGGTGTATGATGTTTTCTCGAAGGTCACTGACGCATTACAGATGCCGTGGGAAGAGGTGAAGAAGGAGATGGAGACCAAGGGCCTTGCCACAGAGGTAGCAGACAAGATTGGTGAATGGGTACAACGCAGGGGCGGCGACGACATCATCGAGTATCTCAAGAGCAACGAAGAACTTTCCAAGTCGGAAGATGTACAAAAAGGTGTTGAAGAGATGGAACTGCTATTCGCATACCTGGATGCTTTTGGTGCGCGCAAGAGGATATCATTTGACCTCTCGCTTGCACGAGGTCTCGACTACTACACTGGCCTGATTTACGAGGTTGTCACAGAAGGTTCAGCCCCAACCGGAAAAGGAAAGCAACAAGAGGTTGGCGTGGGAAGCGTGGCTGCAGGTGGCCGCTATGATCAGTTGGTGGGCATGTTCAGTGGCAAGCCTATTCCTTGTGTCGGCATCTCCTTTGGTATCGACCGCATCATCAGCATCATGAAGGCACGCGGCCAATCGACACAGCGCGCCAAGGATGTAGATGCATTTGTCATGGCATTCGGCGGCAAGGGCTTCAACGGCATGCTCAAGGAGCGCATGCAAGTCGCACAAGAGCTGTGGGCTGCAGGCATCAAGGCCGAATTTTCGTACAAGCTCAAACCCAAGGTTCAACAGCAGTTCAAGCAAGCCGAGGTCGCAGGCGTGCCGCTTACAGTCATTCTAGGAGAGGATGAGCTCAAGGATGGCAAAGTCAAGATCAAGGTTATGGGAATCAAGGATGAGAACAACCCGGAAAAGGATGGACTTTTGGTCGACCGGAGTAACATGGTGGAGGAGATCCGAAAGAGACTGTGAGGCGCAACTAGAGCCCATGTAAAGAATAGGAGCACCCGATACGACGGTGTACGCGAAAAGATACCCATAGACTCCTTTCTGTTCGTCTCATGTCTTGGTGGGCGCAAGGCAATGCAGGAAGAGAGGACAACTGTTATGAAAAGCAGGGTAACGGAATAGAAGAAACGATTTACGACGACAAGAGCACATCCATGGCTTAGAGGATTTGTTTCCTATGGGATGAGATGGAAGGTGGGGAATGGTGTTTGTTGTTTGTTTGAAGGAGGAAAGAACTCTAGGAACGTCAAGGGAAAAAAAGAAGGAAAATGAGCACTTTTGTCAGTGACTGGAATCAATTCAGAGCACGCGTAAACCAATTGGGTATCTGTGACACTGTGCAGCGTGCGCAACGATTAGTTTGTAGAAATAGGGCTGTGATGGGAAAATTCGAATATTCTATGCCGAGCCACCCCCTTTGCAGTCCTATGTACACAGACGCATGATGAAGATGGCGGAAATGTGCAGCTCGCCCGTGAGCGGTGTTTTTTCAGCTCCAAGCGAGCGCTTCGGAACTTGCTGCAATTTTTAGTAGCCGTCCTTGCCCCACTTGTTGTAGGTGTCGTGGAGTTCCTGCACAGTTAGCACTAACAATTCAAAAGAATTGGCTAGCAATTGAGTACATACCTTGGGGAGGGTGACGTTGGGGATAACGACAACGTTGAGAGCCGAAGGAGCGTCCTTCTTGATGCTGGTGTCGCCGCCAGGGTGGTACTGGTAAGGGCTGTGGCTGATATCGTCACGGTTCCAGGGCTCACTGCCGGTAGCCTTGGCAACGGTTCGCTCAGAAGAAGCGCTGGTGGGGGAGCGGGCTGTGGGGAGAGATGTAAGTAGCTATGCAGAGGGTGTGGTGTGGGCATGCCGCTTACAGAAATGCCATCCCGCAAGGCCAAAGATGCCGCTCATAATGGCCAGAAGCACCTGCATTCCAATCAGCTATCGCTCTACTTGCGCCGCAGATAAATACAGCGGGCGGGCGGGTGTATGGCGTACGTAGAGCTCGGGGTCGCGCTTTGCGCCCGCCTTGAGGGCCTCTTTGCTGCGCTGCCTCTCGCCCTCTGCGGCGGCGCTGGTAGCCCAGCGGCGGAGGGCGGGAGCCGGGCGGACGAGGCGCGGGGCGGCGCGGAAGGAGGAGCGGGCAATGATGGAGGACATTGTGAGATCCAATGGAGTCGTGGTGGTGGTGGTGCTGGCGGTGGGTGCAGAGCAGCAGTGGTTCGATGTTGAATCTCGCAGCGATGCCAAGCGTCGCGGCTGCGTCACCGAGGGCACCATGCCGCTTGCAGCCTGGGGGCGCTCGGGAGCGCTGCGACCTCCACGACGAAGTTTATGCGCCCCTTTCGCCGCCCATCACACGTCTTTGTTCCATCCAGCTTCCCTCAGGCCCCGGCGCCGCCGCCGCTGCTCCGCTCCGCTCCCTCTGTCTCGCCTTGCTCACTCGCTCTTGCCTCACTCACAGTCGCTCCTTCTCTCCCCCAGACCCCCCGGCCGCGCCTTCCCGCCATCCATGTTGTCATGCTGCTAGTAGCGAGAAGAGCGGCGCCACCGACATCAACACCATGGCTATGACCCCGACCGAGCAAAAGCGCTCTTCGACCGGCAGCCGCGTGCTGGGCATGACGGGCCCCGCCGGCGAGCCGGGCCTGCCACCATCGCGCCCCTCGTCCATCACCACCGCGCACTCGGGCAGCCAGAACCGATGGTCGCAGGCCAGCCC